TGCAGATTGTGTTAAGTTAATTTTAGGAAGTGTTACACAAAAATATGCCGCAATTCTTCAATCGTGCTATAACCAAAACGTGCCAGACAAAACTGTGTTAAACGACAGTCTACTGTACACCGCAGATGCTACTTTAAATAAAAAACAAGGTTGCAGTTTTTTTTTCCCCCATTATGCACCGAGTGGAGCAGGATTTTTTTATATGGTGCACACTTACAGCATTAACCCATTCTCTCATATCTAGGCCCAAATTTACTGCTCATTGCTTATCTAATATAAGCTGAGCTCATTACATAATTCTACAGCACAGACAGAGACTTCAAATCCATACTATTATAGCACAGACGGCAAAGTGGTTAATAAAAATTGAATCACAATTCATCATTTCTGCACTTCTAGATTCTTCCTGTTCAGTGAAAACTTTTATAAATCTTTCCAAGTGCCTGTTCTCAAATCTCTTTAATTTATAGTGAACAGTATGTGTGTGTGTGATTTCCTAAATAAAACATGCACCTTCATACCATAATAGCATTTACATTTAAACCTACTCAATAAAGGTATGGAAGAGTAGAGTATTTTTGAGCTCTCTCAAGTGTTAAACTAAAGTAAAACTAAGCAACATAAGCCATAAACAGTAAACAATACCAGGTGTGTGCTTACATATTCTGAGGAAAGGATGCATACACAATTAAGAATGAAAACAATTAGAAAAATAGGCAGGAAAATTACTTAACCCTTTGGCTGTTTCGGCCATATATATACGTCTTACGAGCCAGTGTTTCAGACATGTATATACTCAATTCTAGCGGCTTCAAATCAAGCAGGAGAAAGCTGGTAGGCCCACATGTGAGAGAATGGGTCCGTGTGCACTGTACAAAAAATCCTGCAGCACTCGGTGCATAATGAGAAAAAAAAACTTGACCATGTTTTTGGATTAAAACACCGACTTTGAGGCATATTTTCATATAGTATTTATGGCTGCATTCTTGTTTTCTTGGTCTCATTTGATAGAATGGAAAATAATATTACAGAAATAGAGATGATTTTGATTAGCTTCACGATGAAAACAACCTTGAAATTGAGCTCAAAGCAGCAGAAATGTTCGATTTTTACAAATGTTCAAGAGTAAGCAAATCACACCACATGTCCAGTACATGTCAACTGGGGAGTAATATTCTTTCACTTGTGCACTGATATTATTTATATCATTTTTACAATAATGCAGTAGTCTGCATAACAATAAATCATCTATTTTTTGTTTGAATAAAAAATCAAAATAGAAAGCAAGAGTAATATAAGAGGGGCCTAGAGACATGACTAATGAACAGAAGATATGTTATTTTAGTGTCAAGAATGTCTGCATTGTTTATTCTGGACCCTAATTTGAAATTGGCATCTTTTTTTAATTTGCGTGAAATTGGCCAAATTGCCAATTTCTGACCACTTTATTGGGTAGTTGAAATCGGTAAATGGGCAGTTTCTTGTACTCAATTGATACATAAAATGGAGTTCCAAAGAAATAGCTATGAGTTTGGTCAACTGGAACAATGGAATTGGCCAAAAATAGGGCTCAAAGTCAGCGAAATCACCGACGCTGAGATTGCTAACTTCTCGCGAGTGTAATTCCGTAAGTTTTCAATCAAATTTCGTGCTTTTGGTGTCATTACCATAGGGAAAAGATTATCATTTCATAAGAATTTTTTTTTTCTTTTTCCAAAAAATTCTGAGATGTGGAATGACAGTTTTGGAAATGGGCTTGCGATAGTCAAAGGGTTAAAGAGGCAACAATAGTGATTGAACAATAAAATAAAAGTCAGTCAATCCAAAGGGCTATAATATACAGTGGTACCTTGACTTACGAATTTAATTCGTTCCATGACCGAGCTCTTAACTGAATTTGCTCGTACAGGTCCGCCATCACAAATCCGCCAATCGGACATCTGGTTCCATCAGTTATTCGGCACTAATTTCGGCTAGCATAATTTCAAATTTCCAGGGCCGCAACACCAACCTGCTGGTACTGTTTGGTGACGCTACTTGCTGCATAAGTCATTCCAATTTCTTTTTCTCCATGTACTGTTATAACCTGCTTACTTTTAGCCCTAGCCATAGTTCCAACGACTAAAAGAAATTCTTCTCGTTGTGTAAAGCACCTACACAGTGCATTGTCTATTAACCCTTAAACTGTCTAAACGTAGATCTATGTTTATACACGTAGCACTCCGAACGTAGATCTACTTTTCTTTTTGCACAAGAATGCAATATTGAACGTAGATCTACATTCGGAGTGCTATGTGTATGAATGTAGATCTATGTTTGGACAGTTTAAGGATTAACCCTTTCAGGGTCCGTCCCGTAGATCTACGGCTTTATGGTGAGTGTCCAAACCGTAGATCTACGCCATGAGCTCAGCTCACTCTGATAAACTGTGAGTGGTACATTTGGGCCTAGATATGAGAGAATACATCTATGTGGTATGTGTGCACCACATAAAACAGATCCTGCAGCACACTGTGTATAATGAGAGAAAAAAAATGAAATCATGATTTTTCGATTAAAACAGCAACTTTGCAGTGTTTTTTCGTATGTTTTTTATAGTTGTATTTGCGATTTCTTGGTCTCATTTGATAGAATGGAAGACATATTACAGAAATAGAGATGATTTTGATTGGTTTTAGCACTGGAAATGGCTTGAAACTGAGCTCAAAGTAGCGGAAATGTTAAATTTTTTGCCGATATTCAAGAGTAAACAAACGACCTCACACGTCTAATACACGTCAGCTGGTGGGTCTAATATACATTCACAAATATGGTGATGATATTTATACAATTATTACAGTATTGCATAGCAGTAAATCTTCTATTTTTTGGTGTGAATAAAAATTCATTATGTGAATAAAAAATCAAAATGGAATTTATTTGTAAAGCCTCAAAACATGACTAATGAACAGAGGAAATGTTAGTTTAGTGCCAGGAATGCCTACATTGTTTATTCTGGACCCTATTTTGAAATTGGAATATTTTGAACTTTGTGTTAAATTGGCCAAATTAACAATTTCCGATCACTTTATTTTGTAGTTGAAACAGTTGACTTGGCGATTTCTTGTGCTCAATCGATAGAATAGAAGTAATACTAGTGAAATAGCTAAGAATTTGGTTGATTGGAATAATGTAATTGGCCTAAAATGGGAGTCAAAGTCGGCAAAATCGCCGATTCGTAAATATCGCTGACACATCAAAATTCGCGAGAGCATAATTTCGTCAATTTTCCACCAAATTTCGTACTTTTTGTTTTATTACCTTCACAAAAAGATTCTCTACGATTTCATAAGAAAAAATAACAAATTTTTTTTTTGAAAATTCTTGGACACTGGTGCGTGACTCCAGATTTGGGCCTTGGACCCTGAAAGGGTTAAAGATAAGGCTTTGAAGCCACTGTTGGTTGCTATGAGCTCAGTCTCGTAATGCAGAGGAATATGCTTTATTATTACACTAATATTAATACTATGGCATATATGCCTATCAGAATTGATCTAATATTCAAATTCAAAGTTTATTCTCTATAAGGATTACAATGCTGATTTTACAGAATTTGGTTATTGTGTGGTTTACATGTAGTAAAATACTAATTACAGAGGGGGCCACTAGAACACCTAGCATGGCTAGGCATTTCGGGCAAACTTAGATTAATTCATAATTTTAAAATATTACAAATTATGAGGTAAGTTGGTATTATGGCTAAGTGACTAAATACTAGTTTGTGAGTTTAGCAATGTGAATGCTTTTGTTTTGGCACAATACATAGTTTCAGTATTGGAGTATCACAGGCCAACTTATGACTAGTTAGGATTCATTATTTTAAGATTGAGATTGATATTTCTGTTTATGGTCAAATGGGTGAGTGAGTGTAAGTGTGAACCACCAGGTGGTATTCGTGTAATTAGTTGACAGGGTGCATCAGGGAGATAAGATGTTTTCTAATGGTAGTTTTGACATAATAAACAATTTAAATAACATAAAAACATGTTAAATACTCCAGAATAAATAATATTTGGCATAATACCGAGCAGTTCAATGGAGGTATGAAGAGGACATGTGATACAAGTACCATTCTCCTATCCCTGTCTTGGGGCTTATATTAAAGAAAATGGAGTATAGCACAGGGCTAACTATGATATACACTCATACTGCACCATAATACTGAAACAAAAAAGCTATTTTCTCTACATATATCATCACACACAGCAGCATATGTGTAGAGAACCTAGGATAACCCAAAAAAGTCAAAGAGGCTTATTTCTAGTACCTAGCTTGGGCTAGCCATATATGATTTTTGGTAATATTCGATTCTCAGCCAGGGAAGAAACATTGGGAGTGTTTCTTTAACCTGTTGTCTATGTTCACCCATTAGTAAATGGGTACCTGGATGTTAGTGAACTGGTGTGGGTGCTATCCTGGGACACTGACATAATTTGCCTGAAATGCTTAGCATAACAAGAGGCTTTCTGTATAGTAGTATGTCATTGATGTCAGCTAGGCCTGTATACTATGTACATGTATGTGTAGTAAATAAAGATATTATTATTATTATTTTTCTCTCAGTTGTTTGTTGGGCTATCTTATTGAAACTTGGGCAATGTATGACGGAAAGATGCTTCTTAACGTACACCAAAAATGAAAGAAATCAGACCATAAATAACGGAGCTCACTTCTCGGCCATTCCATTGGAAGAGCATGTGGGATGGGATGAAGTACCTGACATTCCTCTGGGTACAGTACCTGACATTCCTCTGGGTACAGAGTTGGATTTGACTTCAGATATGCTGCCAACTAGCTCGCTTGTACTCAGATTTTGGCTCGCAACTCGAAGCAAAAAATCAACCAAGTCACGGCTCGTAACTCAAAAAACTCTTAAGGTGGGGCACTTGTAAGTCAAGGTACCACTGTAATTATGGTGGAAAAAAAAAAAAAAAAGAGCATTACTAGAAGGAAAAACTTACTTTTGATGTGCACAAGTCTCCCCTTCAATATATCCATCCATCATTTTTAACTTCTCTAGTGCTCTTTCTAGAGATGTAATTTCTAATTTCTTTGCAACTGAATGTCCAATTTGCACTGGATGGGCACTTGCTGCCTTAACCCCTGACAACTTGCTTCCTCTTTTCTTTTTTTGTTTGTTAGTAGATTTTAAATGTTCTGCTTCATTGTTTATTGAGTAAGATGGCATTCGGTGTAAATTTTTGTTGGATGTCCATTCATACATTCCTGGATGGTCTCCAGTGACATTATCCAGAGGCTGATCATGCGAAGGCACACAAAGAGTATAATCTGGAACAATGAATTTGCAAGAGCCAGTGTACATATATGTGAGAACCTCCTGAAAGGCATCTGGTGGAACATCTTTTAGAGTAATATATTTCTTTTCAGAGTTGTGAAGATTGCCCCACTCCTCCTGGAAATCTACGTAATCATTCTTCAAATTCTCTTGTTCACTAAGAAGGTGGCGGCAAAAATATTCACTGTGACAAGCCAAAATAAATGAATGGGCAAAAAACTTTCGAGCTCCACATACAATCACAACATCATGTATTGTATCCAATTCATTTACCTCTTTGAGTAGAGTTTCAAAATCTTCCTTCATAGTGCTACAGCTTAACTGAGGTAAATCAAGCAAAAAACTACTAGGCTCATTCTGAAGTGCAGCAAAATTCAGACCTTTTGGATCACACATAACAGAAATGGTGCGATGCAAAATAGGAATACGAGTTAAACGTAAAGTGACGCAAGTACTGTGATCAAGGAATTCAGTGAGTTGGCCTGATGATCCCCAAGATTTACGAACAGAAGGCTTTTCAGATGTCTTACGTTCACGAGCAGGCAAAACAATAGCAGAGAAAGCTTCTCCATCATCTGTTACTACTCCCAGACAATGACGATTAAGACAAAAGTCAACTAAAGTTATTTTGCGCTTAATAGAAAAGAGGCAACGAGAAAGATGTGACGACTGTTCTGTCCACAGGTACAGATGGCCGGTTCTACGTCCAGTGAGGGCAGCAATCCTTAGGTCATCTCCTCCATGCTCTATAAGGCCCTCAGCTCCAACTTTAGAATCTAAGTGGCCTCCAAGACAAGCCACCTTCACCACTTCATGCATCTTCGAAGCTACCTTGCGAATCTGATACTGATGAAGAACATATATATCTCCACATGAAGTTGCTAGCACTGTAGCTCCATCGCTGACTCCAACACTGACAAGACTGCCATCGTCCTTTATGACCATTGATGAAACATTTCTTGGGGTAACAATAGTGAATTCATTAGCATTCTTGAAGTGTCCAAGCTGTCCAGCATTAAGACCAAATGTATAAAGCACTCGAGATGTCCATATCACAGAGTGATATTTTGCTGCACCAATACCAGCAATTATTTCTTTATTAGACTTATGCCAAGTAAGCATTCTTGGTGAATAAACTTTCTCTGGAGGAGGGTTCAACCCCAGCTGGTGATACAAGTTACTACCACAACTCCACACCTGAAATAAGAAAACAAATACTTAATAGTGAACTCTTTAAAAGAATATTTGTTTTTTTTTTAACACAGGCCATTTCCCACTGAGGCAGGGTGACCCCAAAAAGAAAGAAATAAAAAAAAATTTCATCATTCAACACTTTCACCATCACTCAGACAATCATTGTCTTTGCAGAGGTGCTCAGATATGATAATTTAGATGTCCATCCAAACTGCCAATATCCTAAACCCCTCCTTTAAAGTGCAGTACTTCCCATTTCCAGGACTCAAGTCTGGCTAACCGGTTTCCCTGAATCCCTTCACAAAATATTACCCTGCTCACACTCCAACAGCTCATCAGGTCCCAAAAACCATTCGTTTCCATTCACTCCCATCTAACACGCTCATGCATGCTTGCTGGAAATCCAAGCACCTCACCCACAAAACCTTCATTACCCCCTTCCCTTCAACCTTTTCAAGGACGACCCCCACCCCACCTTCCTTTCCCTATAGATTTACATGCTCTCTAAGTCTTTCTACTTTGTTCCATTCTCTCTAAATGACCAAACCACCTCAACAACCCCTCTTCAGCCCTCTGAATAATACTTTTAGTAATTCCACACCTACTTTCCACACTACAAATTCTCTGTGTAATATTTACACCACACATTGCCCTTAGCCATGACATCTCCACTGCCTCCAGCCACCGTCTCGCTGCAGCATTTACAACCCATGCCTCACACCCACATAATAGTGTTGGTACCACTATACTCTCGTACATTCCCTTCTTTGCTTCCATGGATAACGTTTTTTGCCTCCTCAGATCCCTCAACGCACCACTCACCTTTTTTCCTTCATCAATTCTATGGTTAACTTCATCCTTCATAAGCCTATCCACTGACAAGTCAACTCCCAAATACCTGAAAACATTCACTTCTTCCATACTCCATCCAATGTGATATTCAATTTTTCTTTATTTAAATCGTTTGATACCCTCAGCACCTTACTCTTATCTATGTTCACTTTCAACTTTCTACCTTCACACACTCTCCCAAACTTGTCCACTAACATTTGCAACTTTTCTTTAGAATCCCCCAAAAGCACAGTATCATCAGCAAAAAGTAACTGTGTCAACTCCCATTTTGTATTTGATTCCCCATAATTTAATCACACCCCTCTCCCCAACACCCTAGCATTTACTTTTTACAACCCCATCTATAAATATGTTAAACAACTAAGGTAACATTATACATAATAATAATACATAATATAATATAATAATAATACATTACACATATAACAGAACTAAAAAAGCTACCTGAAACCATTACAATATACAGTGGACCCCGCCTTACGAACGCATCGCGTTACGTTAAATCCGCCATACGAAGCATCTGAACGCAAAAATTTTGCCTCGTCTCACGATAAAAAAACTAGCCTTACGTGATTCGTCCGGGACGCGTCTGACATGTGGCCTCAGCACCAGTGTTCACAAGCCAGTCAGTGCGGTTGCATCCATGCATACATTCGCTACATTTCACCTTATCCCAGTGTTTTTTGTGCCCCAAGAAAGCTTCTAGTGCCAACCCTGTGGTAAAAAGGGCGAGAATTAGTATTGAAATTAAGAAAGATTTTGAAGGGTTTGGGGCTAACCCTGAGAAGCCTATGCCAGTTGTGGAATCCACTGTGCCTACTTCAAAGATTAAGGAAATGTGTGCAAAGTGGGTTGAAGTGCAAACCTTTATGGATGAAAATCACCTTAACACAGCTATTGCAAGCTGTGCAGGTGACTATTACAATGACAATGTTGTGGCCCATTTTAGGCAAATCTCATCAATCATCACCAGATCTTCAATAAAGGTAAGTGTCATGTATTCTCTTCTTAGTAGAGTAGTAATTGTGCATGTCTTCTTCAGTTTGTGTGTATTAAAATTAATATTTCATGTGGTAAGAAAATTTTGTTTTTCATACTTTAGGATGTCTTGCACGGATTAATTTGATTTCCATTATTTCTTATGGGGAAAATTAACCCTTTCAGGGTCCAAGCCGTAGATCTACGGCTTTACGTTCAGGGTCCAAACCGTAGATCTACGTCAAAATTCTAGCGGCGTCAAATTTAGCACAAAAAGGCTGGTGGACTACATGTGAGAGAATGGGTCTCGTTGGTGTGTGTGCGCCGTAAACAAAAATTCTAGGCGCCCGTGGAAACGCCGGTTCAGTTACCTTTGTTCACCATGCCTAGTCACAAGGCAGCTCTCACTCCAAGGAAAATTGGGACTCTCCTCTTCCTATCTGATAGTTCTGACTCTGATGGAAGTGGAAATGAAGACAAATTCTTTGGCTTTGGTCAGTTAATGACCGAAAAAAATGACCAGGATATCGATAATAGTGCAGAAAACCCTGACGATCCTCAACCTTCTCTCTCTGGTGTGGGCACTCCTCAGTCGTGGTCAGCTGTACCTCATCGCAAGAGAAAACTATTATTTTCGTGTGGCCAGGCCTCTGACTTCAGTAATGATGATGATAGTGATGTGGATTGTGATTTTATTGCTCTTGACGATCATTCGAGCAGTGATAGTGATGAAACATTTCACCAGTGAAGCATCGGTATATATGCCGCCGCATGTGCTCAGGTAGTGTTCCCTATGCAGTGCCCAGGGGACGTAGTACATCCCAGAGTACATCCAGTGGCCCTACACCAGGAATAGACAGTGAAAGTGAGGATGATGTGGCTACACTTGGCATGGATAGACCACAGTCATCAGTAGGTGGTGGTAGTGGTGATGGTAGTGACACGGCCATGCATGACTCACCAGCCCAGGCAGGGACCCATGTTGCTGACTCCTCAGTTCAAGGACAAAGCGGAGCGTCAGCCACCAGCCCACCACAACCACAACTACCAGCACAACCAGCCTATGATGTCCAGTATCCACCAGAAAACTGTATCTGGGATTGGCAGCAAAATCCCAATTTTGTTCCCAAGCCCCACCAGTTTGATGACTCTCAAGGTGGAATTCTACCAGCTTGTCCCCTTGGAACCACTGCCAATGAACTGGAATTTTTTGAACTATTCTTTGACCAGCCCTTGATGGAAACTATTGTCAGGGAAAGTAACAAGTATTTTGAGTACACCATGGCAAATACAATGATATCACCAGTCAAAACTACACCGGTGGAAAGAGACAACTGTTGCAGAAATGTATTTGCTTTTTGCAACAATAATGCTTATGCCTCATGTCTATAAGCATAATATAAAAGCATACTGGTCCACAGATCGGCTAATTTCTACCCCGGTCTTCAGTGAAATCATCCCAGTGAACAGGTTTATCTTACTGTTACGTATGTTGCACTTCTCTAACAAAACCAGGCCTGACAGAAGTGACAGGTTATACAAGATCAGAAATGTTTTTATGTATCTGAAACAAAAGTTCAACATGTACTTTTATCTATTCAAGAATCTTGTACTTGACGAATCTTTGATTTTGTTCAAAGGTAGACTGTCATTCAAACAGTATATACCGAGCAAGAAGAAACGCTTTGGTATAAAACGTTTGTACTCTGTGACTGTGACAGTGGCCTGGTATTGGATATTGTTGTATAAACGGGAAGTAAAACATTGAAAGATACCAGGATGTTATTGGATATCTCAGGTGACGTAGTGAGAAGCATGATGGCACCTTATCTTGGTAAGGGGCATACATTATATACCAATAACTGGTACACAAGTCTTTTACTCAGTGACTTCTTGCAAGTGAACAAGACAGATGTGTGTGGCACAGTGTGTTCTAATCGTAAACATATGCCCAGGTTCAACGCAGGCACTCTTGGTGATGAGGTGTAGGTGTTTACTGCCAATGACATCATGGCATAATGGTGGCATGACAAACGAGATGTCACATTGTTGACAGCCATTCACCATAACGAAATGCAAGACAGTGGCAAAGTTGATAGAATGACTAATGAACATATTCAAAAACCAGTGACAGTGATTGATCATACACAAAACATGCGCTTGGTTGACAAATGTGATATGCAGATTGGATTTGTTCATTGTGTTCGTAAGAGTTACAAGTGGTATATGAAACTTTTCTTCCATCTCATGAACATTTCAATGCTCAATGCATATAATATATACCAAATGAAGACTGGCAACAGACCACTGAATGGTGAATTTTGTTTGTCTGTTGTCAGACAACTCATAATGAAATACCAGGTAACAACACCTGCTATACAAAACCGTCCTCGAACTCCTCAGCAAATACCCAAGCGGGAGGGAAGATGATCACTTCATAATACAGCTTCCTGCAACTAAGAAAAAATTTGCTCAGAAGAGATGTGTTGTCTGTGCACAAACAAAACGACGGCAACAAAGACGCAAAGACACTCGGTTTATGTGCGAGGAATGTAAGGTACCTCTGTGCATGGTGCCTTGTTTCAAGGAGTTCCACAAGCTGCAGCAGTTCTAAAACCATGTCCAGTGATTGTAAATATGTAAATATATGATAGAACATTAGTATTATACAAGATTTGTGCATGTTTATTGTAATAAACAAAAGTGGTAAACAATATTATGATAATAACTTTAGTGCAATTATTGTGTTCAATACAGTGAATGTATATATATACATTATATACAGTATTGGTCTCTCAGGCCCCAAATGTTAGTAGAAAAGGAAAAAATTAGAAAAGAAAAAAACTATAAAAAACGTAAAATAAAGTAATGCGCATATGTGGAAATCGTCGATGTTGCTGCCACCTGGTCATTTTGGGTCAACTTCTCGGCACTGTATCTCGGCAAGTACTGATCAGAAATTTTTTTTTTGTTTTATTACCTTCACAAAAATATACTCTTTAATTTTGTAAGAAAAAATCACTTTTTTTTTTTTTCAAAATTTCTTGGACCCTGAAAGGGTTAATTCGCCTTACGATAATTTCGGCTTACGATGAGCTCTCAGGAATGGATTAATATCGTAAGGCGGGGGTACATTGTATTAGAAAGCTTATTTATTTTACAGTATGCTCACA